TTGTGTGCAGTATTTTCTGCGCACTTTGGTTCACGTAGTTTTCTTTCCGTCTCACGCCTGGACTTCCCTGCAGGTTAGCCACGCCGCCATCGACGAGGTGGTGCTGGTGGGGGGCTCCACGCGCATCCCCAAGGTGCGCTCCATGCTGTCCAAGCTGTTCGGCGGCAAGGAGCTCTGCAGGGCCATCAACCCCGACGAGGCCGTGGCCTACGGCGCCGCGGTGCACGCCGCCGCCCTGTCGGGGGACAAGTTCGCGGAGAACCTGGTCAAGCTCAAGGACGTGACCCCGCTCTCTCTCGGTGTCGAGATTATCGGCGGAAGATTCTCTCCTCTGATTAAGAAAAACAGTCCAATTCCGTGTAGGAATACCGAGAAGTACTATACCTGCCACGACAACCAGACTCAAATGACATCTAAAGTAAGAATTTGCTATTACAAGGAAACACTGGTAAAACTAAAGCGTAGTATTACCCTCTGTTTTTAAGCGTAATTCGTTTACGCTTGAAATCAAGCGTAACAGGCTCTTTCCTCAAGATTCCCCCTATCTAAATGCATGGGGAAATTTCTACAGTAGAAGCATACTGTGTAACAAGCGTAACGTCTTCAAGCGTAACTTTATGCTTGACTCAAGCATAGAGTTACGCTTTAGTTTTACCAGTGAATTTCCTATAATACATAGGAATAGCGCAAGCAAGGACGAACGCGTTTTTTCTTCGTAATACGAACGGGTTTGTCTATACCTTAAAACAAAAATCCAGAAAATTTGCGCCGAATTTATTGTTACGTAGCTCAAATTTCATAGTGAGACACATCTAAAGTGTTCCAACTATTTTCACTCCTAAGTTTCTGATCCATCCCGTTGCGTTCGTAAACATTTCCTTTCGCATCTTTCGCTTCGTCTACATTTTTTTATTGCGATTCCTCAGGTGTATCAGGGGGAGCGTCCTCTTGTCAAGGACAATCACTGCCTGAACAAGAAGTACACCATCGAAGTCCCTCCCAGGCCTGCTGGCGAATCCAGCATCGACGTGACGTTCGAGATCGACACGGACGGGTTGCTGACGGTGACGGCCGTGGAGCCCACCACCAAGAAGCAGGTCCAGGTCAAGATCACGAAGAGTGAGGCGCACCTCAGCGAGAAGGACATCCAGGACATGATGGAGAAGGCGAAACGTTTCCAGCGCGAGGACGCCGAAGAACTGAGGCGTGTCGAAGAGTCTTTGAGAAACCAGCGATTGTAATTACAAGAGTAAAATGTAATCTCTGATTAGGATTTAAGCTTCCCACGTCAGAAATTTCCATTTGTTACTTAAGAAAGTGTTCAATTAAATTTAAAATTGAGAATTGCATTTGGGTTTTTCTTTCAGTTCATGAGTTCTGTCCTCACATGTACACATGAGACAGCAGTTTCGCTACCTTCCGAAAATTGTGGCTGACTGGCCAAACCCTTTCGCGGATATGATTGAATGTAAGGGGATCATTTGAGCCAAAACTCGGCCACATCGCAGATAGTTTATTTAGGACATCGGTTTTTCACCGGAAAAAAAGATATCTGAAATCACGAAAAGTTTCCAGACGAAGTTAATGCCCGTCCAGACTTATATGGGTGGTGACTCAACTCCTCGCCCGGCGGCGCAGGGAATACCTCGTGTCCCGACACATTTCTTTCGACGTGACAAAAAGGAGATACTCCGTGATTATTTTCGCCCGATGCGTGAATCCGTGAATCATACCAGTCAGCGTCGAACTATGGGGTGGCTAACCAATTACTTCGTAGTTTTTTGTGCATAGCATTTGCATAATACTGAGCATATTCACGTGAAACGCACGAATTCATGCGCAAAAACGCACACTTTCTTGCTTTGTTACGCACAAATGAACGCATTTTAAAACGCATGCACAATTTTGTGCAAAGCTTAATGCACAAAAAACTACAGAGTACTTAAGTGTGGATAGGACTGTACGAAACCAAATGGTCTAGATAACCCAAACGGACATTTTAAACGTTCGAAATCCCTGGGTGCTTTGATTTTCTCAAGAAAAAGAGATAATTAAAAACAAGATAATTAAAAACACCGTTCTCTGGTGGAAATCCACACTGCAAAAAATCAGTGTCAGATACGGACCATGCTACGGCGTTCCGTATAGTTACCCCCTGAAATGGTGATACGGACATCTGCCGTACCACTCCTCCCATAAGAGCCTGTGCTTTGTAAAGAGTGGTACGGAAATTTAACGGAAAATGTACCGCTAATTTTACACCGGAGGTTGCCGTTCCGGTTTTCCGTTTGTGAAATAGTCCAAAATGCTCTACGGACAGTGAGGAACGGACGCTCCGTAACGCAAAGTTCTCTGACGAAACGCATGAAACGGTCACTCCGTAGGGATACGGACTGGCCGTTACACGTTATCCGTTATAGAAATTTGAGTTACGGAGTGTCCGTTCCTCGCTGTCCGTAGAGCATTTTGGACTATTTCACAAACGGAAAACCGAAACGGCAACCTCCGGTGTAAAATTAGCGGTACATTTTCCGTTAAATTTCGCGAAACGCCGTAGCAGGATCCGTATCAGACACTGATTTTTTGCAGTGCAGAGCCGGTGTTATTCCCCGCTCGCCAAGCTTGGGCTGCAGGCGGGACTGTACTCGCTGTACACTGCAATCCTGCAGTCCTTTTCTGATATCTCTAGACGGGGAATACCTACCAGCGCGACTCGCTCAAAAGTAATCAACACTCATCGCTGCAACCAGTCGACGTCGCCTTCTTGTCGAGGAGTGTCGTTAAGTTAGAGCGCATCCTTGCACTGCACTCGTTTCGAAGCACGAAACATGGCTGGAGACGGTGAGTCGAGTGCAAGGGATCCCTCACCAAGGATTTTGTTGTTTGAAACGGATTGTTTGGGATTCTGTACGAGTTTGACGTATATTTCGCCTACTTACGGTCCGTTTCCGACGCAAGATTGTTGTGAGATTGTCTTACAAGAGGAGACCTCCTAGCGTACGCACAGATAGTGAGGGATCCCCTTTGAGTGTGTATCGGGATTTGCATCGAAAAGCGAAGTTCGTCTTGGTTTCGTGTCGCTGTCTGTTTCTATCCTGCGTGAGGTAGACGTGCAACACAATCACAATGCCACACACTTTATGTTTGTGTAGAATTTTGAACGCGCCGTGCCTGCGTGAAAATGCCTAAATTTATGCGAATTTCTGCATAATTTTATGCAAAACTTCACGCAGGTTTAAAATCGTGCATCACGACGTACAAATTTCCACATAAACATTTAGTGTGCAACAGGTAAAATTCGGAGAATTTCGGCTGCTCGCTATTGCATTGCGCGAGTGTATGCCCCCTCCAGAAAACATGACATTTTTCGAGTGGTAAGTCCTGCCTGATGTAATGTACCGTTCCGGATTTCAACTAAGTCTCCCTTCTTCGCAGGGCCCGTGGTGGGCATCGACCTGGGCACCACGTTCTCCGTGGTGGCCATGTACCGCAGGGGCAAGGTGGAAATCTTCGCCAATGACAACGGCAGCCGCACCACTCCCAGTGTGGTGGGCTTCATGGACGGCGAGTCCTTCGTCGGGGAGGCGGCCAAGGACCTGCCGGCCTCCAAACAGATCTACGGTACGAGCGCTTTGTCACTTCCATTCCAAAGGTGAAACTTTCAGTACCTCATTTTGGCGATACAACTGTGCAGAAAATCTTGCTTCCAAAACAAAAGTCGAGGGGTCCTTTACAAAAGATCTTATCTGCGCGTTCCCCCCAAGACAATCTTATCTTAAACGCAGGTAAATTTCACTCAGTTTGATCATTTGATACAGCTACAAATCAATATAATTTGTGATTGAATTCACTGAAATGTAAAGATGAAGGATCAAAGAAACCGATAGTGCATGCAGAAATATATCCCGCTTACTCTCGTACCCATCTTAAATGGTCAAACTGAGTGAAATTCCCCTGCGTTTAAGATAAGATTGTCTTGGGGGGAACGCGCAGATAAGATCTTTTGAATAGGACCCCTCGAAGTATCGCCAAGAAGCTTGGCGATATTTAAGAGTATCATTAAATTTGGCAATAGGTACCAAACGTATCACCTTTGGATTTGAAGTGATGTCTCCAATTGTATTAACCAGCATAATGTTATGTTGAAAAATGTTGAAAACGCAGTAAATCACACACTGTTAAAAAAAATCTTAAAATTCAGACCAATTTTGTAAGACCTAGTGGTCTGATTTCTGAATTAAGACCAGAAGTATGCAAAAGAAGAATCCTCGGATGAAATTTAAGACTTTCGCAGTCTCAAAAGCAAATTCAGACCATCCAGACAAAAAGTCTGACAGGGGTGACTGAAAATTCAGACTAAGTACAAGACCATGTAGTCTGAATCGCCTTTCCAGACTATTCTTCTGAAAAGGAAGACCGATTGATCTTAAATTTCAAACTGGTTGTGTATTTTCAGACCATGGGTCTGAAATGGGAGACGTATTGTTCTGAAATGTCAGACTGGTTGCCTCACTTGACCAAATTTAACCGCAATATTTGTGAGCTCGATACAAAATCTTAAATATTCACGAACAGCCCAAGTTGTCCGCAGTTTATAACTCCCGCAACACGCGCTTGGTTTGTTTATTTGTGGCCTCCCAGCGTCCAGCGAGCGCGCTTGGAGTCATCGGCATCCTGCAGGCGTGCTCTCAGAGCGGTCCCGTGGTGTAATGGATAGCCCGCAAAGCCGACGAGCGAGGATTCGATGGTTCGAATACCAAGATATTCGGAGTTTCCGAGTAAAGAGCAAGGCCGATAAGTAACGCGCAAGTTCTGTCAAAGACTTCTCTCGCAATGGAGTGAAGGTTCAATGTTACAATTTTGTGTTTTTGTCTGAATTTTCTTCAGACTGGCCGTGTCTAATAATTCAGACCACCTAAATCTTAATTTTCAGACCACCCAATTCTAAACTTTGAGACCACCCTATTCTAAATTTTCAGACCGCCGAAATGGTCTGAAATTTCAGAACCCCTTACTGTTAATTAACTTCAGTCAAATTTTGTCTGAAATTTCAGAATATTTTTTTTACAGTGCACCTAGGGAAGAGTTGTCATGAGTGAAAGCGGAGAAACGTGTTTTGTTGAGTTAGCAGAGTAGGGCAGTTACCTCTAATCTCCATAGTGATTTCCCCCTCGGGCATCACACCACCGTACGTATGTTGCTCACAGACGCCAAACGGTTGATCGGCCGTCCCTGGAGAGACGACAGTGTGCAGTCTGGCCAGAACATGTGGCCCTTCAAGGTGGTGGAGGACAACGGTGCGCCCAGGATCCAGGTGGACGTGGGTGACGAGAAGGAGACGTTCACCCCGGAAGAGGTGAGTACGAAAGGGTATGCACAGTGTGCCCTAAGACCGGTGGAGGCGGCCAAAATTCTAGACGTGTTTTGAGCTCCAGAGTCGCTAAATGGAACTCGAACCGAACGTGTGACCCCACCACTGGATTGCTCTCCGAACTAGGATTTCATTGGTGGGGTCGCACGCTCGGTTCGACTCAAAATGCGTCTTAGGTTTTGGCCACCTGCGTCGGTCATCTGCATCATCCTGTTTGCCCTAATTTTGATTTTGAACGAGCCCCAATTTTCTTCGTGTGTTGCAAAAACAATTACACGCTGCAATGTGAGGTGACGTTGTTACCCTGCCGCTTCCCGTTTCTTCCACAGATCTCTGCGATGGTGCTCCGCGACTTGAAGGAGACGGCGGAAAACGCGCTGGGCGAGCCGGTGAGCAAGGCCGTGATCACCGTGCCGGCCTACTTCAACGAGCGGCAGCGGCAGGCGACCAGGAACGCCGGTAGGACAAAACTGTCGCCACATGCTCCACCTGGAGTACGACCTTGTTTTTCTAATGTAGTGTTTCAACTACATCTCCCTCCCCTCCACCCTCCGCAGGCAGGATCGCGGGGCTGGAGGTGGTGGCCATGATCAACGAGCCCACGGCCGGCGCCATCGCCTACGGCCTGGACAAGAAGTCGGCCAAGAAGAAGACGGTGTTCGTCTACGACCTGGGCGGCGGCACCTTCGACGTGTCCGTCATGGTCATCGAGGGCAGCGAGTTCAAGGTTCTCGCCTCGGGCGGAGACACGCACCTCGGCGGCCAGGACTTCGACGCGCGCCTTCTCAAACACTGCGTGGAGGTAAGCAGCCTTGAAAAGCTCTTCTAAAAGTCATTTATGTTTCGAAAATTTCTGATTGTTGGGTTTATTTTCAACGAAACTGATGAATTTTGTGATCGTATCGTTGATATACAGGGCGTGTGGATGTTCACAGGAAATTCGAACAAAGCACGACGTGGACCTAGAGGGGCTGATGGACTATGAGAGTCTGCATGACTTGAGAAAGGCGTGCACATTGGCCAAGTGCAAGCTGTCCAACCCCAATTACCTCGAGACTTCGTTGCGTATTTACTTTCCCCGACACGAGATCGGCTACAGCACCAAGATCAGCAGGAAGCTCTTTGCAACCCTGTGCGCCGACCTGTTCCAGAAGACGATAGATCTTTCCAGCGAAGTCCTGGCAGAGGCAGAGGTAACTGTTTTGGAAAGTCATTCTAAATGACACGAGTCTCAAAAGTGTACTTAGCACATGTTCTTGGCTCACCAGATGTGTGCTTCTCAAGCAGGCAGGTGGCAATTGCACTCTGAATGTCTAATGTCTTACAAAGAAATTTTCTACAGTATGCCGCAAGCATAAAACGAAGGTGGTTTATCTTCATATTATGAAGGTTGTTCTTTGTATATTCCAATTTTTGGTGTGTATTATGTTTGCGCCGGATTCACTAGGTAACGCAGCTCAAATTTCATCGTAAGACGTAGAGTGTGGATTCGGTGTCTGCCGCAGGCGACTCGAACCGGCGTACGTGTGACCCCACCAATGGATAGCTCTCCGAACGAGGAATCCATTGGTGGGGTCACACGGCCAGTTCTAGTCCCATTTAGCGACTCTGGAGCTCAAAACACGTCTGGGATTTTGACCGCCACGGTCTTCCTCTGGCCCACTGTGCGCAGGTGATCCAGAGTGACATCGACGAGGTGGTGCTGGTGGGCGGCTCGACGCGCATCCCAAAGGTGCGCGCCATGCTGTCCGAGCTGTTCGGCGGCAAGGAGCTCTGCAGGGCCATCAACCCCGACGAGGCCGTGGCGTACGGCGCCGCGGTGCACGCCGCCGTCCTGTCCGGAGACGAGTCCGTCGAGAAGCTGGTCAAGCTGAGGGACGTGACCCCGCTGTCCCTTGGAACCGACCTCGTCGGTGGAAGGTTTTCGGCGGTGATCAAGAGAAACCGTACAATCCCTTGTAGCAACACCATAACGTATTGCACTGCCTTCGACTACCAGACTAGCATTACATCTGATGTAAGTTTTCCGTACGCTCTGGAACGTTTCTGTAGCTATCCGACATAACAGCGTATCTACTGTGGGATTTCCTACGAACATACGTTGTTATGTCAGATGACCACTCGTTTGAGATGCGAATTATACAATAACGACACACTAAAAATCTTACATACTTTTTAAGCCTTACGAAGTATACTTGCTGGAAACGACAAATTATTTTGAGCATACGTAATCTTACACAGAAAACACTTCGTTTTTTGCGAACTATTTCTGCGTATTACAAAATACGTAGTTTGTTCCTCATGCTCAAAATACTTTGTGAGGTTTTAAGGGTGATGATAAACGTCACAGAATGAGCAATGCACATGACAGAAAATCAATTCTACATGTGGCATTGTTATCAGGTCTACCAAGGCGAGTGCCCTCTCTACAAGGACAACTACTGCCTCAACAAGAAGTTTACAGTGGACGTCCCTTCCAAACCCAGTGGTGAAGCCACCATCGACGTCACGTTCGAGATCGACTCGGACGGGTTGCTGACGGTGACGGCCGTGGAGCCCACCACCAAGAAGCAGGCCCAGGTCAAGATCACTCGGAAGGAGGCGCACCCCAGCGAGCAGGACATCCAGGACATGATGGAGAAAGTGAGGCGTTTCACTGGTAAAGTTACGGTGTAATGACGCACAGTGGCGCGAAAGAGAAGACCGGTGGAAATGGTCAAAATTTCGGACGGGTTTGGAGCTCAAGAGCCGCTAAATAGGACTCGCACAGAACGTGCGTCTCCACGGATGGATTGCTCTTCGAACACTGTCAGAAAAAAGTACGGAACATGTCTGGTCAATAATTTGCCTGGACCGTCCGTACTTGCCAACTACGGAACGTTCCGTACCTTTTCTCCGTACCCATTTACATGGGTTCATATGGAGCAAGTACGGAACGTTCCGTACTTTTCTCCGTACCTCCGTACTATATTTTTCTGTACCATTTCCGTACAAAAGTACGGAATTTTTTACAGTGAACGGGGAATTCATTGGTGGGGTCACACGCTCGAAACATTCTTTGCCCAAAATGCTGGGTTTTAAAAGGACAGTAGAGAATTCCGCACTAAGTCAAAGCATCCACTGTTCGAAGAAATATTAGAAAGTTCCAGAGAACTTGATGGGATAAAGAAAGCTGCTTCAACTTTAATGTTAAAAGTAGCCTCCTACCTATGTAGCTGGTTCTGAGACTCGGGCGTCAAAGAGTGCGAAAGGTTCAAAATGATCACAAAATCACCGATTGTTTGAAGTCGTATGTCACTTTAATTTATCTTAAAATACAATTACTCATTTGTAAAAAAGCGTATAAAACAATTATTCTCAATAAAAACACAACAATTATTTAACCCTTAAAATCCTCCATCTATAAAACTGTTTCAATGTTGACTACTGGCTGAGAGATGAATGTTGATCGTCGAGTTTCGTGAGTGCGCTCGGAGTCCTCAGGCGCGAGTGTCGGGAGTACACTCAGTCTTCAGGCGAATGTCGGAAGTACGTACACTGAAATTTAAAGGGTGAGAATTAATACCAAGTTAGGGCGAGAACAAGTTTTCACTGTCAAGTAGAGAGAGTCAAAATTCTCTTCGTATTATGAAGAAATATTGCTTCGTATCATGCTACCACCAAATTCAATATACCACAGCTCAAATTTCGTTGCAAGACGTTTAAGGCGTAGCACTATGGGCCAGAGGACCTGTGGTGGCGGCCAAAATTATTTACGCGTTGTGAGCTCCAAAGTCGCCAAATGGGACTCGAACTGAACGTGTGACCCCACCTATGATTGCTCTCCGAACGAGGAATCCATTGGTTGGGTCACATGTTTGATTCGAGTCCCGTTTAGCGACTCTGCAGCTGAAGACGCGTCTAGAGTTTTGGCCGCCTCCACCGGGTTTAGCCCACTGCAAAGCATGGATGAATTCCTCACCATGGAGTTTCCGGTGTTCGGAGTCCTCAGGCGAGTTGGACGAGGGGCACGTCGTTGCTATCCTGGTCTTGCTCCTCCTGGAGGACGGGCGCGGTGCCGTTGGTGACGACGCAGCGCCGCGCCCCGGCGATGCTTCCGTCCGCGCTCACCTAAAAATCAACAACATAAAAACATTATTATCATTATTTGCAATTATAACAAATAGATACAGCAGAATGCAATTAAATATCAACGAAAGAATTCAGGCAATAATTACATCTCAAATAATGAACGTTACAGGAGAATGCGTAACGGGAAACAACTCAAACAAAATTTAAGCGCCAAAATTCACCAAAAATTTAAAATTTGCAGATTTTGAAATCAAAATTTGTCTAAATTGTTCTCAGAATTCAGAGGTATTTGGCCCGAAATTCAGCGACACTCGACTGAAATTCATTCGACTTGGACACCGAAATTTCCCCTTGAGAATGCGTCTTAAAAATCAAACGACACACTAATGTCATGCGGTGAAAAGCTGCACCAACATATTATGGTGGAGATTTTCTCCATGTCATTCGACCAAATATCAATAAGGTGCAAAGAATTTTGACCCGTAAGTTAAAAAGTCAGCTGCACCACCATAATATGGAGAGTTTTCAACATAAAACTTGAAGAGAGCAGTAAAATTCGTAGTCACCTTGGGGCTACGCAGCATGAGACGGCACGGCACCTTCCAGCCCCAGACGGCCGTGGGGACGGTCACGTTGCCGTGCACCACGGACTCCACCTCGCCGCGCACCATCTCGGCCGCGTAGCCGAACACCTCGTAGTACTGCACGCGGGCCGCCAGGTACACCGTCTGGTTTTCTGCAACGAATCACAACAGCAAGAATGTTACACTGAATGTTTCGGCCCACGGTCACAACACCTTACACACTAGAACACTGTAAATGTCTCACGGTGAAAGGCTGCACCAACATATTATGGTGGAGATTTTCTCCTTAATACCGACGCAATTCGGCAAAATATCTATAAGGTGCGGTGAATTCTCAATGGTATGTTATAAAGTCACCTGCACCACCATAATACACTGTAATTCAAAGGGTGAGACGTCTCACCAATTTTCGGCGATACAAAATGTATCACCGAAAAAAGGGTCGTACACGCATGTATCGCCGAAAAATGGTCGTACACGCAGTATCACCGAAAATAGCGTAAAAAATGTATCACCGACAAAAAGGGGAGACATCAGCGAGATTGCCCCCGTTTTCCCGGGGAAAATATCACCCTTTTTTCGGTGATACATTTGTACGACCTTTTTTCCGGTGATACATTTGTGTACGACCCTTTTTTCGGTGATACATGCGTGTACGACTATTTTTTCGGTGATACATTTTAGTATCACCGTTTTTTCGGTGAGACGGTTTTATCTCACCCCTCAGAGAGTGAGATGTATCACTATTTGATTTTCAGTGTATGGAACATTTTCACCATGATATGGAAAAACTTCACTGTACAACATTTAAAGTGTACAAAGCACACTAATTACGGTGTAGTTTTAAGTGGATGAGCTTTGCACAAAATTGTGCATGCGTTTGAAAAGGCAGGAACTTGTGCGTTTCACGCGCAATTTTCAACCCTCGCGATTCGCTTGAATCTGTGCTAAAGGCTGTGAGACAACCGACACAAAAACGCAACCCGGTCACTTGATTTGCAATAGCAAAAGTCGAAACTGAAGAGAAATTTCTTGAAACCCAGACCGGAAGTACCCAGGCGGAAGGAAGTTGGCGTTGGGAGAGTGAAGACCAGAGGCACGGCCTGCCTAACGCTACATCGGGGAAAGTCTAAAACGGTCCAAAACTGCGTAACGTAACAGGGCCTTCGTATCCTACCCGAAGCCGGTCGATTGATATCTGATCCGCGTAACGCTGCGACATGGGGGGACTGGCGTCCGAGCCAGCGTCACGCTGAACTCTTCAAATTTAAGACCAGATGTCAGAAATTCCGTATGTAAATGAGCGAGGGGGCGAAAACTCGCGCAATCATGTGTACACGGCCCCCGAAATCACATGCGAATCATTGAGAATCACGCGAAATCAAGCAATCCGAAATCAACCAAATCACTAAATTCGACCGAAATCAGGCAGAATCACACGAAACCAGGCAAAATCAGTCCGAAATCATTTCTTTCCGACACAATCACACACAATCACGCTCAACATCACCCTGGTGCGTCGCGAAATAAGGCGAATCAGCCATGAAATCATTGCGTTTTCCGAATCATGTGTACACGAAAATCCCGAGTTTTTGCCCCCTCGGGCGGCGACCCCTAGTGGGACAGCACCGGTTAACGAGATGCGCTCTAAACAGTGCGGGGATAAAGAAAGACGCTCAGAGGAGCCGATTTGGGGGGAAAAAAAATATTCGGCCCCCCCCCTTTTTGGGGTGGGGCCTGCTGGTCCTCATCGGACGGGGGTAGTCTCGCAGTGTGGCACGTCCCACGCGACGCGCACGGCAGCACGCGTGCACACCCCGACTCGCCCGCCCGAGGGCACTGTAAATCGAACCTCAACCACCGACGAGAACTGTAAATTTATAGTGACAAGTAACTTTACTCCGTGTTACGTCGTTCCTTGTGTCTTGCCTTTCCCAAACCTAACATCCACTGCGATACCTTTCGCGCGCCAAGAGAACCCTGGGCAGGATAGGTCTGAGAAACCGTCCACAACAGTACACTAGTAACTCACCACTTTCGGCGGCGCCTGCAGCAACAGAGCCTCGAGGTGCGCCACCCTCTTGCGAAGGCGGAGCACCTCGGGCCTCAGGTCCTCCTGGGGCTGCTGCGGGGGCTCCTGGGGCAGCTGTGGCTGCTGCGGGGGCTCCTGGGGCAGCTGTGGCTGCTGCGGGGGCTCCTGGGGCAGCTGTGGCTGCTGCGGGGGCTCCTGAAGCCGCGCCTCCAGCTCTTTCACCCTTGCCTGCAGGCTGTGGACCTCGCCCCGCAGCTGGGCCACTTCTTCCTGCTGCTGGGGCTGCTGTAAAGGTCAGCCAGCGGTTGCCTGTCCTGTAACACAAAACACACAAGGCTAAGTCTAGTTCTGCGTGCGAGACGGGGCGGGGGACCCGATGGCGGCGTGGCAGCCAGGTCAATGCCAAGGAGCGATGAGCCAAACGACGTCCACCGCGCGCACTGCCGCGGCCAGCAACGCGAGGCGAGGCGCTCTTGCTGTCTCTCCTCTTCCTGCCCCTCCTCTTCCTGCCTGTCCTCTCCCTGCCTCCCGCCCTGCCCCAGCTCTCCCAGCTTACCTTGGCTGCGAACAAAGGGGAAAACCATAATTAGAGGTCGCTTTAGAAACAAAATATTCAAGCCAAATGCATTGCTGAACGTTAAGAAGAAAGTTTGCTTACCCCGCCCCCGCCCGCCGTACCTCTGCATATGCTGCTGGTAAACCCCCGCCGCGACCGGCTCCCACGCCATTTTATGGCGTGTGTCTGAAAAACGAATTAGACATTAAAAAAACGTTAACGCTAACGTGAAAGCAGACGATACTTATGGAGATGTTTATTGAAATGTATGAATGTGACATTTTGTCAATTTCTTTCAAAGAGTAAACACTCGGAACCTTTTTTTTGACAAATTTCTCACGCATGGTAATTCATGAAAATGTCAATTTTAGCATAACTTTTTAATATCCTAACGTGCCATTGTTTTTGTTTAAAATGTTCGCAATGACGGTGGGGACTCATATGTCCGATACCACTTGTGTTGGGTATCATTTTTGTTGTTTCAACGCGAGGATGCACAATTTGGTGGGTAATCACATAAATACTCAAAACCCGTAAAAGTTTTGTTCGGTACTAGGGCAAGGCGCCTTTCGGCACGCGGCGTGTCAGCCCCTCTCCCAAACGGGGGCCCGGGCCCGGGCCCGGGGCGCCACCCGAACCCGACCTCAAGATAAGCAAAAGTGGCGCACACTGCCGACTGCCCACGCGCCGCTTCTCGAGAGGGATGGGGTTGGGGGGGGGGGGGGGGGGGGCTGCACTATGCGTTCTACGCACTCAAGGCTCAAGTGCGAGGGGTGTAGACTGTTGCGGGGGGGTGGCGGGGGGCGGCGGGACGTGGCGTCTCGGCAAGGGAATGGGCGAGGGGGGGGAGCTACGCGATGCGTGCTAGCAGCGTCTCGTAACGACGCGCAACGCGAGGGACGCACTTCATGAGTACTAGAGAGCTGGGTGTCGAAGGTTATACGCCGCGCGCCCTACCCGAGCCTCCGCAGGCGCCCCGATTCATTGAGCGGCGCGAGCGCGGTGCGGCGCGGCACGCTGCGGACCCTCCGCTCATAATCTTCTAGGAAGGCTAGCCAGCCGCTGCCTTGCCAGCGAGGCGCTCGGCCTCTTCTAGGCTTGCTAGTCAGGCAAAGAGGCAACTGCTGCCTGGCTAGCCGGAAACTCGGTACTCTCTGCACGAGAGTACAAGCACGCTAAAACGTGAACGTATCATCTGCTAAAAAACATTACCGCTTCAGCCCAATTGCATTGCCTCTTGTCTGGTCGATACTCACTCCTCTCGTGGTCCTTCTTTCCTCTTTGAAGAGTTTCGTACAGCCCTCTTGACAAACCCACATGAACTGCAACAGAAAAAACAGTCCACCGTCAAGCAAAGGCCGCAGTGGCCATTCAGTTTAACGCGGCGGAGACGGGAACTGGACATTTTCACCCACACTCACTTTTTCTTCGGGGCCGGCGGCTTCTTGGGCAGCATCCATGGCACTGCAACAGAATTCATTTCATTAAGCCTCACACCAAAGGAAGTAGCAGGGCAGCAGGGGCAGGCCGGCCGGCCCACGCCCACGCAGCGTGCGAACTTGGCCCAGCGGCGGCGACGAGGGGGCGAAACCTCGCGCAATCATGTGTACACGGCCCCCGAAATCACATGCGAATCATTGAGAATCACGCGAAATCAAGCAATCCGAAATCAACCAAAATCACTAAATTCGACCGAAATCAGGCAGAATCACACGAAACCAGGCAAAATCAGTCCGAAATCATTTCTTTCCGAGCACAATCACTCACAATCACGCTCAACATCACCCTGGTGCGTCGCGAAATAAGGCGAATCAGCCATGAAATCATTGCGTTTTCCGAATCATGTGTACACGAAAATCCCGAGTTTTTGCCCCCTCGTAAATGAGGGTATAAAAATAGTGTTTACAGGAGTAAATTTTGCGTAACGTTACGCTGTGGGAGGGAGTGGGCGGTCTGACATAGCGAAACTGGGGAGGGGGTTGGGGGGAGAAGAAGTATTCAAACCTGCGTAACGTAATTATTAGACTGCCCTGTACTGCATCAGCGTGGCAACCGTGTCATCAAATGTTTTGATGACATCATTGAACGGAAATTAAGCCTAGTCATGAAGTAACAACCAAAAATTTTAGTGTCGAAGTCCTGCGTACGGTGCGACAGAGTGGACCAGAAGACAGATGGAGGCGGCCAAAATTCCAGACGCTTTGTGAGCTGTAAAGTCGCCGAACAGGCCTCGAACCGAGCGTGTAACCCCACCAATGGATTCCTCGTTCGGAGAGCAATCCATTGGTGGGGTCACACGTTCGGTTCGAGTCCCATTTAGCGACTCTGGAGCTCAAAACGCGTTCCGGGATTTCGACCGTCTGCCGGTCTTCCCACTGCGGCGCCTTACCTTTGGCGGTGCACGTGTAGGACACGGCCGAGGACGTGACGTGCTCCGTGGACATGTTGACGTAGGCCGAGGCCTGCCCCACGATCTTCTTCCACAGGTCGAAGCCGATGGAGGCGGAGGCGCCCCAGCTGAGGGAGTGCGCGAAGGAGCTGATGTGGGAGACGGTGACGCTACACTGGAGGCGCCGACACACTGCAGCGGGTCGGAGATCCGCCGCCACTTCTTGTCCTCGGCCTTCCTGGCGCCGTTGGCTTGGAACCAGGGTCGTCCGTCAGACGCACCCACTTGTCGTGGTTGTCGAAGTCCTGGATGGGGTGCACGCACGCCTCGGGCACGTAGTCGTCGGCGGGCGGCAGGGCCACCGGATCGAACCCGGACGCCGACGCGGCGAGCGCGACCAGCAGCACCAGCAGACAGACCATGGCTGCGTCGGCTTCGCGGAGAGACTGAGACTCAGATGGACACAACAACAAAGTCAACTGCGATGATAGCGTACTGTGCTGCGTTGACGCCAGACGCCGACTGACCGGCACCGGCCGGAGAGAGAGGGGTCAGCAGCTTCCCCCATCCCTCCCCTCCCTCCCCTCTTTCCCCTTCCCTCCCCTCCTCCTTTCCCCTTCCCTCCCTCCCCTCTTTCTCCTCCCCTCCCTCCTCCCTCATCCCTTCCCCTCGGTTAGGCGGGAGCCCAATCCACTCCCACTCTTTAGCTCCTCGCGTGCCGATTTTGTTCTAAGCAGACCCTTTCACTCGTCGCCAAGTGAAGAACGAACGTTATAAAGAAACAGCCAGGAACCAGCAGTGCGCCACCCAGCGGCCGTTGCTTTGAACTTCGTTTACCGACATCAGGGTCCTCTGACATCACCCCCGGCCACGGTTACTGTTAGGAACGGCGACAGCAAAGTACCGGACACTTACACAGTGAAAGTAATTACTGTTCAAACCTTTGTTTATTCTAAGGAACAGCGGCTTTGTAGCCTTCTCGCGACGATGAGGGTCTGTTCAGAGGAAAACTCATTGTCAGCGGCGTATTTTACAAAATTTTGTCATGAGTAAAACTACAATTGCTGATTCCCAATGACTAGCTCAAGACTCGTTCTTGACAATATTCAGTTTTGGAAGTGAATTTCTGACTACCTTTCATTCAGTGAAAAGCTTTTCCATTCAACCAATTCCGAAGTTAACAAATGCCCCAGAATTTCTTCAGTACGTTGAGTGTTACGCCAAAGTGTGGCGCTGCCTTATCTTTCCTTCAATTTCGGTTCAACTTTTGAATTTCACATTCCAATTTAAAGATTAAACTGAAACACATAAAAGGTCCGCGTTCATTTCCGTAACCGACATTTTTATCGAGAGTACGCCCAAGCGTTGTCACCATGTGTCCCTCCACATGGGTGTCCTAGCCTAACATTGATAATTGAAAGGAAGTCGATTCGTCAGGAAAAAGTTAAGAGGCTTCCGACGAAAATGCATATAAATGTATCTTATGTAACATTTGATTACAAATTTCTACAGCGCTACGCGTTGGATCCAATGTCATCTACACGGAAAGGGGAATACCGCGCCAGTCGCAGTGACGTAGAGTGCACAGCCAAAACTCCACGAAAAATGGCTTCGGAACATGAAGGAAACAAGCGCATTTTGTAACACCTACGAAGGAATTCTTCGTTTCATGGAGCCAAATAATTCGCCATTCAAAGTAATTTTACAATGCATTCATTTTCTTCGTTGTTACATGAAGCGAATACTCCGCAGACTTCCTTACGTGCGGGCTCGTCACTTCGACCGATACTAGTGTAGTATAGTTATATGAACGGCCTAACGAAGCGTGAGTGCATCTTGATAGCCGAGCGTCATGTCGACCTGCTTCTGGGCGCGATCCACTCACGGTTTGAATAATTGATGCCCTGCCAGTGCACCGCCACCGGCAGGCGCCTTGCTGGGCTGCATGCACTGCACCACCTCCCTGATAGACACGAAACGCTCAGCGTGACGCGTCATTTCATTGCCAATGGGACTGCCTTTAATCAAAATCTCCACCAAATAAAGTCGTTTCGACGGTAATGTTGACGTCATTTTGATTTCTGTGACTACTTCGTGAGTGTTTTGTGTCCATTGGGTCATGCACCACCCCTTGCACCACCCCCGTGCATCACCCGCTCGTTTTTCACCCCTGCCGCTCTGCACTGCATGAAAAAAACGACAACTAAAGTACACAAGTTCCAGACAAATTTTCAATCAGGAATTTATTGTACTTTCAAAGTACAACAATTGTTGTACAAAGTGCAATGCAACCAGCGACGAGTGCTGTGCAGTCCAGGCCTCGTTGTACTTTCCCTTTTGTACTTTTACACTGCTTGAAAAAACCACAACAAAAGTACACAATTAATATCTGGCAAATTTTAATTAGGGAATTTGTTGTACTTTCAAAGCACAACAATTGTTGTACAAAGTACAATGGAACCGGCTTGACGAGTGCTGTGCAGTCTAGGCCTCGAGGCCTAGACAACGATCGTTGTGCTTTGTACAATTCTCGTTGTACTTTCTACAATCCCTGTTGTACTTTTGGTGTTCAGTTTTTGTTGTACTATTCACACTTCCTGCAGTGTATGCTCCCTTTGCTTTTATCGGACCCGACCTTGAGCTGTCAGGGTCACCACGCCAATGTCAAGGGTGCCTAGCGAGCAAGCACGGCATGTGCGCCGCGTCCTCCGGGCGTCGTGCCCTCAGTCCTCGGCCGCCAGTCTCCGGGTCGCCATGGTGCCGGCGGGGCAGGATTCCGTCAGCCCCAAGCTGCTCCGGGACGGCATGCCGGACGGCAGCCCGGAGCCCCCGGGCCTCTGCCCGCTAGACGTGGACAGCCTGCCCCCGGGGGAGATCTCTAGTAAGATACATAGGTTTTGGCAAAAACAACTCTGCAAACTCAACAGTGTACTCAGTACACTCTAGTTAGAGTGTGCTCATGAGTACACTCTAACTAGCGTGTACTGAGTACGTACACTGTTGAGTTTGCAGAGAAGAAACAAGTTTTGGTGAAAATTCTTGGAAAATCTCTATGCTATTTAGGTGGAGGAGCGTCAAGCCACTTACGTATTACCTCTTCATTACCATTAAAAATCCGAAAATACTACCGAAAAATCATCTTTAAAGCTAATACAGTAACATGCGAAAGTAGCCAGAAAACGTAACAAGTTAACTAATGAATTTTGAAGGCATTAAAATTTTTTCCTAGAAATCCTTTATTAATTTACGCCCCATGCATACTGCAAACCTAACTGTCTACTAAGTACACACTTACAAATGCATGCTTGCAAGTACACACTTACAAACGGATGCTTGACGCATGGACATATACGGCGTCAAGCATGCGTTTGTAAGCGCATATGTGTAGTTGCAAGCATGCATTTGTGAGTGTGTACTTAGTAGACAGTTAGGTTTGCAGTGCAGAGGCACGAGGTCGACACCGTTGTAGGGGCGTAAATCGTATTCATGCCCTGAGGGTGGTATGATTGTAATGGCTTTGTCTTTAGCGGTGATGCGACGCTCCAGGGGCGTCCTGCAAGGGTCGCCGCCGGTCTCCGCGTTCGCGGCGTCGGTCACGCCCACCATGGTCCGCGAGGGGCGCGAGGGGGCCGGCATGTACTCCAACGCGGACGGCCAGGCGAAGGGGAAGAAAAAGTCCTTCTTGAGGGCGGTGTGGGACTTCCTGTTCTTGGTGATGCAGACATCGTCCATCCACGGTTTCAACCACCTGACCGATGACAAGCGACATTTCTTTGAGCGGTTAGTGTCCGCGAGGGAACGTGCGTGACCCCACCAATGGATTGCTCTTCGAGCGAGGACTCCATTGGTGGGGTCACACGCTCGTTTAGAGTCCTGTTTAGCGACTCTGGAGCTCAAAACGCGTCTAGAGTTTCGGCCACCTGCGCCGGTCTTCTGGCCCACTGTGCCCCGTGACTGACTTCCCTCCAATGCGTGGCAGCATTGTGTGGACGGCCTTCGTGCTGTTGGGGCTGTACGGCGCCGTGGTGGTGTCGCTGTCGACGTGGGACCACTACCAGGAGAACCCCACCGTCATCGCCATGGAGCGCGACTACAAGGAGTGGAACACGTCCTTCCCCTCCGTCACCATCTGCCCCACCATCAAGTACGACGAGGAGAGCGTGGAGAGGGTGGCGGACTCGTAAGGACACTACAAATCCAAAGATCGAGCTAATCACCGCGCAGTGGGTCAGAAGACCGGCGGAGGCGGCCAAAACTCTACACGCGTTTTGAGCTCCAGAGTCGCTAAATGGGACTCGAACAGAACGTGTGACCCCACCAATGGATTGCTCTCCGAATGAGGAATCCATTGGTGGGGTCACGCGCTCGGTTCGAGTCCTATTTAGCGACTCTAGAGGTCGAAACGCGTCCGGGATTTTGACCACCTCCACCGGTCTTCTGGCCCACTGTGGTTCATCAATCTGACGGACTGGCCTGCTGCAGGTTGACTCACATCCAGGACAAGGAACGCCTCAAGCTGTTCCTCATGACGCTGGCCAACGCCACGTACACGACCTTCAGTGACGTCATCGACGACTTCAACGACCAGATCAAACCCTCGGACTACATGGACCTCGTGCTGGCGGTATGCGACACAGCAGTTGATGTTTCAGCGGCCCGCTTGGACTCTGGACCACTGCAAAGCCAACGGTAAGTTTGCTTGCCGCTGGCTTTGCAGTGATGGTAACAGTCGGCATACTGCTAAAGCAGTAGAGCGCGTTGCAATAGGGAGTTAGTAGCAAGGGGCATAGGTGATCCCGACCTAAGTCACTGTCATGTCCATTGAAGGTGCGGGCAGGAGAAAGGACGGCACTCTAAATGTTCTACAGTGAAGATTCTCTCCATATTATGGTGAAAAGGTTCCATATTATGGCGGCGCAGCTGACCTCGTAACATACCATTGAGAATTCACTGTACCTTATAGATATTTTGACGAATTTTGTTGGTATTATGGAGAAAATCTCCACCATAATATGCTCGTGCAGCCTTTCACCGTAAGACATTTACAGTGGGCAGACTGACACTGGCGACTCGTCACGGCGTGCCCCTCTTTAGGTAAAGCTGGAGTTCTCCTACTCTGTGAGCGGGAGCAACGATGAGGCCAGTGCCCAACCGCTGCAGCCCACCATCACGGAGCACGGCATCTGCTACGCGTTCAGCTCGGACGTCGCTGTATACTTCGCACCTGAGTGGGTACACGGCACAGTGGACCAGCACCGGTGTCGGTGGGGGAGGCGGCCAATACTCTAGACGCGTTTTGAGCTCCTGAGTCGCTAAACAGGACTCGAGTCGGGCGTGTGACCCCACCAATGGATTCCTCGTTCGGAGAGCAATCCATTGGTGGGGTCACAAGTTCGGTTCGAGTCCGACCTTGCGAGGCAGGCGGACGCAGGAGCTCGAAACGCTTCCGGGATTTGACCGCCTCCAGGCACACTGTGCCCTAACGACATTCAGTTTTGCGACAGGCACTTCAAGGCCAAAAACAGCAGCCTCATTGACAGAGGGTGGTCGTACAATGGCAGTCCACTGGATGGCAAATGTCGCGCAGTCGTAATGAACTCCGGGACTTGTGAGGCCTTCCACCGACAGGGCCTAATAGTGGACCAAAACTCCGCCTTTTGAGTCCAGAGTCGCTAACGGTCAATGACGTGTGACCCATCATGATCCCTCGTTCGGAGAGCAATATGTGGGGCACACGATCTCGAGTCCTTTTAGCGACTCTGGACTCAAAGCCGTGCCAACAGCGGCGTCGGCCCACTGTGTCGTTGAGCTTATTTCCGTAGGACGGATACTGAACTTTGAAACATTGCCTTCGAGCGAACGTGACGCCCTTTGGATGGCTCTTTCTAAAGAGCCACATTGGGCCTTCCTCGGCTAAAACGTTTACGCCTCTGGAGCTAAAAGGCTATTCAATCCAGCGGCGATCTAAGGGCCCCTAAGCTTTACAGGCCTACCGTGGACGGATATGTGACTGGGGAAATGATTTTCCCCTTGGATGGCGAATCGTTGATGCCTTTTGGGAAAGGGTGCTCATTTTGCCTCAAAGATGCCTACATGCACACCTTCCGAACGGATTTCCGCTAGACTTTGTCGGAGGCCGGACGTTAAAAGGAATCCTCGGCCTCAGCATCTAACGTCCGAAGCGGCGGCCTCACAGGTGGAGCGGCGCTGTCGCTCTGAGAGATAACCTGATGTCAGCCCCGTGTACTCGTTAACCTGTATCAGGACGAGTGCTTTCCTCCAGATGTTCATGCACCCCTTCTACGCCCCGTTAGTTTGCGTATACTTGAGTCCCGAGGCCGGCCGGTAGGGCGGAGATCTCGGACGCAGCCTCAGAACGTCTGATGAAGGGCGGATCTCAAGGTTGGGCAGCGAAGCTGTCGTACTAGAGTCGAACTTCATGCTCATCCGATGAACTCGTACAATGTGAGGACATCCCGCATACGCTGGGAACGCGAGTGCGGCTGCGTCCTCACATTTACCGCCCGTGTGCGTATCGTCTCGATGCACGGGGCCATAATACGGTGGAGCGCAAAATCGGACGCGTTTTGAGCTCCAGAGTCGCTAAATGGGACTCGAACCGAACGTGTGACCCCACCAATGGATTGCTCTCGGACGAGGAATCCATTGGTGGGGTACACGTTCGGTTCGAGTCCTGTTTAGTGCCTCGGGAGCTCAAAACGCGTCTAGAATTTTGGCCGCCTCCGACGGTTTCTGGCCCACTGTGCAGTGGGGGCGGCCAAAACTCCGACGCGTTTTGAGCTCCAGAGTCGCTAAACGGGACTCGAACCGAACGTGTGACCCCACCAATGGATTCCTCGTTCGGAGAGCAATCCATCAGTGAGGGTTACACGTTCGGTTCAAGTCCCGTTTAGCGACTCAGGAGCTCAAAACACGTCAGGGATTTTGACCGCTGGCACTAATCATGCAATAAAGCTTGTTGCCTTCAAAAAAGGGTGGCTGTACAAACTACTTATCCTTCAAGACTTTGATGTGTACGGTGATCGTTTCCCTGAACCCTTTCAGACCCCTTCAAGATATGCGACGTGAAGGGTTTGCACTGCCTGGATAAGCACAAAGGTAAATTTCGTTTTGGTGACGGTGCGCATTTGTCTCGCGTCGTTCCACAGTGGGCCAGAAGGCCGTGGCCGATGGTGAAAACTCCAAACGTGTTTTGACCTCCAGAGTCGCTAAACGGCACTCAAACCAAACGTGTGACCCCACCAATGGATTCCTCGTTCGAAAAGCAATCCATTTGTGAGGCCCTGGCGCTCAAAACGCCTCAGGAATTTCGGCCGCCTCCACCGGTCTTCTGGCCCACTGTGCGTTCGTCCTGGCTCAAGTTTAATCCCTCTGGACAGTCTTGATGTCGACGCTGAAGGACCCTGTGACCAACAAGAAGGTGGACTGCAAGTGCCTGCCTTCGTGCGTCGAGGTCAACTACATCTCCGAAAACGACCACACCATACCGTGGTGAGTGGTCTGGTCTTGACGACGCGCAGTCCTTCGGGAACGAATTAGGTGGCATAGTTTGTCCTACCATTATTTGGAGTGACTAGATTTTATAACTGAAAACCTCACCTTGAAAAGAATTCGACGATTTAGCCGGCTACCGACTATTTGTCAGTCGACTATCGATGGTTGCAAGTCTATTATTGTTGGTATAGATAATTTTTAGTCATTTTCAGTAATTTTTGAACAACCGAGGCTGCCTGGAACGAACGATGCGACCCACTTTCTGGTTGATGCAGGTTCATGGGCACCTGCCTCAAGTGGGGGATGAACAAGTACCCACGCATGCGACTCAAGCGGGATGTCCTTTTCGGCTTCATCGACGTCCTGGGTGAGGGAAGGCGTGCAGGCACAGTGGGCCAGAAGACCGGTGAAGGCGCCCAAAATTCCAGACGCGTTTTGAGCTCCAGATTTGCTAGACAGAACTCGAACCGCGCGAGTGACCCCACTAATAGATTCCTCGTTCGGAGAGCAATCCATTGGTGGGGTCACACGTTCAGTTCGAGTCCCAATGATTTCCTCCATTTGGCATCTTCAACAGTGGCCGTGGGGGGAACCGCCGGCTTGTTCCTTGGCTGCTCCGTCCTCAGCATCGTCGAGATCATCTACTTCTTCACGCTCAAGGCCTTCTTCTACGTGAAGGAGCACTACAAGGACACGCCGGAGGACGAGGACGGGGAGCGGCCCGAGTCCGTGGACAGCGGGCAGCCCATCGTGCCCCGCATGTTCGCCGCCGCGAGGAGCTTCTCCACCGTGCACCTCCACTGTTAGCCACAGTGGGCCAGAAGACCGGCGCCGGCGGCCAAAAGTCCAGACGCGTTTTGAGCTTCAGAGTCGCTAAACAGGACTCGAACCGAGCGTTTGACCCCACGGATTCCTCGTCCGGAGAGCAATCCATTGGTGGGGTCACACGTTTGGTTCGAGTCCTGTTTAGCGACTCGAGCTCAAAACGCGTCTAGAATTTTGGCCGCCTCCACCGGTCTTCCGGGGGAATGAGTCTACAGTTACTTACGTACAGGGGTAGTAGCGCTTTGCTTCCAGGGGGAGGGGACGCCCCCTGGATCCGCGCCCGATCGTTAGTAGTCCACTGTTAGCTAAAATAAAAGGAACCTAACTTGTATAAGAACGAAGACGTGTATAATGGAAATCACCCCTCATACTGGAATGCACAAGCTAAACCTCGAAGGAGATAGGCGAGTCCGATGAGGGAGGGAAACTCTTTTGCCTTTTCAGAGGGAGAAAACGCGGGTTTGCTTTCCTTATAGCCAGGATTTCCTCCTCAAATCTCTCTCGACATTGTGTTGTGGTACCCCGCCGTGAAGGTAGACCACCCTTTTGCCACGTCACGCGCGCCTGATAGGTAGACCACCCATTTGACACGTCACCCAGCGCGGTGATGAGAAAGCACATACAGTTAGATAGATAGATGGGAAAAAGAAACTTGCGATTGGAATGCCCACCTCCTTACCCCGTCCCCGATGGGAGGGTGGAGTAGAGGTTGCATTGGTTGCACCAAGGCTTATGGAAATCAAGATGTGGAAATACTCCCAGACCAACGACTTTGGTTTTTGGTTTTCTTCAAGATTTGTAACGAGTGATGTATTTTTTAGACAAGGACTTTATTGTAAGTACACATGCCAGAAATAATATAACAATACATAGACCCGTAAACGAACAAAAACAATGACAACGAAACTACAATGCAAACCTTATGTCAATAAAAATGTGTTTTGGTCCATGCAGTAAACTTAACATAGTATTTGATCTGAGAACAAGTACAGTGTCCCAATTGATAAACATAAAATGCTCCCATTTGATTAGGCAAACTAAAGAGACCCTTTAAAGTAGATTCAAGGAGTGTTAATTCCACTCATTAAGAATCACAGGTACATGTTCAATTGAACTAACTCAGGGGACAAGACTCTTTAATGAGATGAAAATTTGTACATGATTAGTGGAAACTTGATTACCTTAATTAATATCATTTCATTGAAATAGTTGTCACAGTCAAAAGATGGCAAAAGTAGTCCTTAAAGAAAGTGAAAAACGTACACACTTTGCTTCAATAGATAAACTCGACTAGAGGTTTTGCTGATTCTATAACTCCCTCATATCCAATGCCAGCTTTCTTAATCAGCTTCTCTAGTGATGAAACACTCTCCTCTGCGTCATGGAACTGATTCGACCCTTCAAGTAGGTCTGCAGCAAGGTCATCTAGGCTGTAAGTCTTCCCTGCAGCTTGACGGCCTACGAGACATGCAAAAAAGAATTTCATGGATTAGTTCGGAATGGGCCGACAAAATGACCACACATTCTACATTTCACTCTACTACATGATGTTTCGTGCAATCCAAATTAAACTGCGAGTTTCAAACGGGGAGTAAAATTAACTTTGCTCCAAGATTTTAACGTGGTTCTGTGAATGCCTCACAACTTTCTGTTCATGGGAAGAATCTTATTGAAATGATTCAAATGAATCACTTTGATGCAAATCAATGAGGCATAATTAACTTCGTTACAAGAAAGTACCATTTCAAGGGCAACAATCACTTCTGCCAAAATGCAAACTGTGCAGCAACTAGTAAAGAGTAAGCCCATGGTTTACAGAGCAAAGACTTGAATTAACCCCCTCCCGCCTTATTTTTTAAAAAATGTGCTTACAAAAGCACACAATAATGGAGGAACATCAAATACAGAAATGAATTTAAGAACTCACAAAAACCAGGGCTGAGTCATTCGCTTCTAAGGACTCACCTGGGAGTGCTTTCCGGAACAGAGGCAGTGTGTCAGCCAGGCCTCGCACCTGCGCCTCAAATTGCTTGGTGAAGCCCAGAGAGGCGAGCAGCGTCGAGAGGAGAGGCGCGTGGAAGGGCATGGCGTTGTGGGCCGCCAGGACGGTGTTGCCTCCCACACTGCGCAGGAAAGCGAGGAACTTCTCCACAGCATCCATTCTTGGAGTCGTGTACACCACCTGCCCTCGCAGGAACAACCAGTCTCCAGCCTTCAAGAAGCCATTCCGCTCCATGGCCTATAAAAAAAAAAGTTGCTTGGATTAGTTTGGACAAGATATACATTGAATAGATAATGAAGCAACTACGATAAAGTGAGGGGCAATAACTCAATCAAAAGTACTTCTGCGCTAAAATTTACAAACACTCTATGAAACTTATCTAATTTTTCACAGAATTTGTTTATGCCCCTTAGTCAGGAGGATCTGCAAGAGAGATCAACTGCACTGTGAGTTTTGGTCCAGTTTTTCAAATGTGAAAACTGCATAAGCTCCTTCTCCAGACCATAATTTTGGGAGCAAAAATATAAAATTTTTCTAATGGTTTTACTTTGAAGCTAGAGGCTAACTGACACTTAATTCCTTATTCAAACAGTTGATGTTATTATTCTTTTTGGAGACTCTTGAATGACAGAGACTTAAGAGAACAGTCAGTGCCTGATATGGCCCAAAATGCTGACAGACATGCTGAAAGTTGTGAAAAGTAAACTTTCTAAGCAGGCTGATTTAAAGTTGAGAAAAAAAGCTGTCTTAATTTTAAATGACTGGGACATTGTAGCGAGTAGCAACTCTTGAGACAGCGTTCAAACCTCGTTACCCCATTACCCATCAGCATTTGTACCTTTGGATGAATGTCACCATCTGGTAAGATGTACGCATTAAATGTCTTGTTGTGGCAACTAGCGGCAATTTGAATAATCTCTGCATCTTCTCCAAAGCCTGTTGTCTCGAAGTGGAAAAACACGACAATCCTGGCAGTCAAAAGAGTCCTGGCTTTGCGCCGTCCACCATTTGAAGTTGAACTATGAACAGAAATCAAGGGAGCCCTTGTAATTATTGCCAAGTAAAAACTTTAAAACTATATTCCTTGTCTTCTCAGCAAAAATAAAGAACACACTTGCTTGCAACTCCACTAGGGGGCTGACTAGGAGAAGAAATGCTATTATCCTTAGGTTCTTTCTTTACAAGAAGTGGCAACTGCACTGTGACACCTTTTGCGTTGGTCACCTCAAGGTACTTATTGTTTCTTCTTGACTGCACCTGCACATACAAGAAAATTGGTGGCAACATTATAATGCAAGAGGTCTGCTCGCATGAAAAATACTAACAACCTTCAATTTTAAGAATGTGACCAAGTAGTATGATGGATCTATATAGGCATGTATAAATCAAAATTTACAAAAAGAATTGCTATCGCAAAATGAACAACAATATTAAACTGACAGGATATAACACAGGGTGAATAAATATCCAGTGTAATCAAATAAGATTCTATTCTTGGCTTTAAGACAAAGCTTAATTGATCACTGATAACAGTCCACTAAAACCTGGTGAGAAATTGCATGAAGGGTACATGACACTTAAATTAAAACTTATTTTAAAATGTTACAGTATCTGCAAGAAGTAAAGTTCCACGCAACTGTGGATGGCAAAAATATATAATGCAACAATAAAATTCAGCAAAAACTATTTGTAGGTTTTTGCCTTCAGATTCATTATTCAACACAAATGTCACTTGTAGCTAATGACACCTCCATCAAGACTGTACCTTGTCCAGAAAATTGCTGCCGAGCACTGGAGAGCATTCCTTGGTGACAGTCAGCATGCAAAGCACACTAAAGTCCACATCTGATGACTCAAGCAAAGCTCTGTAGGAGCCAATGCCAGGCTTCCCTTTTTGGACGAGGCATCCTAAAGGCACTAGGTGCTCCGGGAAGGTAGATTCTGATGCTTCAGTGTCAAGTGAGAAGCAATGGTTCACACCATCGACAAGCAGTTCTATGCAAGACATTCCACCTGAAACAAAGAACAGTAGAATGAGTGACTTTCAAACATCAACCACCATCAAAGCTGGTCTTTTCTCATCCCCCATTAGATATTTATTAAACTATACAATTAAATTGCATTTGGCAAGCTGGTCCAGATCACAACAACCATTCAAGACATCATTCTGACAGCACAAGTCTGATGTGAATGTCTGAAAGTGCAGTAATGCAACCGATACTCCAGGAAGTTTAATAGATTTAATCCTCAGAACATAAGCGTGGATTTATCCAAATCACTTGGTAAAATGAGTAACAGTTACTGTTTGTACAAGATAAATTACAAAGATAACTGAGCACTTGCCTCTCTAAATTTTTATAATGAACTCTTTGGGACTAACAAAAGTAACATTGCGGCAACAGAGGTACCATGACCATAATTTAACATCGGAATGATGAAACTGACACGAGAAACATCAAAGCAAGAGAGAGAGTCACCCACATCCACACATTTAATGTTAGTGCCCTGATCCCTATCCCCAACATATATGTGGCATCATATCAGTTTCTGAAAATGTGAAGCAGGTCCAGCTATCAACTGTTGAGTCAAAACGAAAAGAGGGTACTTGAATGAAAACCATGCAGACTTCATCTTCTCCGAAGTTCTTTGACTTGACAAAAATGTAATAAAAGTAACGAATACGTTATAAGTCAAGTTATTAACTCACATCTTAAGTAATCGGTAATGACACCGAGCAACGTAAACAAAGAGAAATAGCAGAAGACACAATCGTCTTCGTGCTTACTTATTCATATCAGTCTCACCTGAACTTTTTGGACACCTCACGACGACTTATGATCAGAGAATCAAACGACGATGAGCCTGACGAGCGAAATCGATTCGAAATTCCTAAACTTTGCAAATTACAAGAGAAGGGAAAATAAACAAAACAGGCACCATGTTGAGTCGCTCGCCGCCATAAGTATGAGAAATAAACGACGCACCGTTGTCCAAAGCTGCCAACGCTAAAAATAAAAACTTCATCAGATTTAGGTTTACCATCCGTCTGCGCGACACTTAGCTTACTAGACTTGATATAGTAAACAATGAGCTTATTAAAGTTGCCCTTCCGGTCTCCAGGAAGTCTTTACCGCAAGAGTTTCCACTTTTCATCCACCGTGTCGCTGTTGGTCAGCCTTTTCAGAGCTCAACCAATCACAGGGCGATTTGGAAGATATTCGCAGGGCCAAGCAGCCAAGGAAGGGGAAGTACGGTCATCATCGGGACTCCCTTCGCCGCAGCTCAACAAAGCATCGTCGCGGCGTCAGTGAGAGTGAGTGAGAAGGAATGCAGTGCCAAATGGGTTGCCTATCCTCGCTTCGCAAAACATAAGCGACGCAATCAAAGTACTCTCGACGATCACACTGGGTCAGCGCTTCATCACGAAGGGTCGTGATGTGAAATTAAAACTTCCCCGAAGGCAAATTACAGTTGCGTGTCACTTACAGCAGTTCGTGGCCGAACAACGAGGGACTGCCCCTCGGGCTGTCAAGCCGCCTTCCACTCGGTTTGTCGATAGTTCGACGCGGACTTGCTTTGCTACAAGAGCTTCACGTACTGAAATTCAAATGGCCAGACGGGCATACAGGACCAGTGGAAGCGGTCAACCCCCGATAACGGGAGTTTCTCCTATTTTTGTCACCCAATATAATCTCCGCGAAAGTACCCATCTCGTGAGGAGAGGCGGCGAAGTTTCGTCCGAGCAGTGTGTGTCACCTGGGGAGCTCTCAAGGCGTCACGGGGGCTCAGGTTTTTGATTTAATACGATGAAACAAATAATCATTAATTTACTTGAAGAATCTTGTTTATTGGCCAAGCAAACATGACCCAAAATTACAAAATTCATTATCAAACCTTCATTTAAAAGATAGCTATTACACGAGGCCAAAGAGTAGTTAAAAAGATAAATAACTTACACCACCACTACATGTAAGTGCAATTTCGTCAATAAAACCACAAACAGTCGAAAATATACATGATAAAAATTAAGGCCCAACAGGTACATAGATAGTCAAGAGAATTCATACATAAAATAATAACCATGCACTGCCTGGCAGCACATCAATCAATCGCGCAGCAGCTGGTCGACGGACACCTTGGCGAAAATGTTGTTGGCGATGCCGAGAAACACGTCGGCCAACTTGAGGCGGAGTTCGGGCATCATGGCGTCGAGGACGAGGTGCCCACTGGTGCGGAGCAGCATGTTGGTGGCTTGGGCTGCGACGGGAAAGAAACGAATGTAACAACTGGAAATAAGAGAGTAGAGACCGAGAATGGGATAGAGAATAAAATGTAATAAATTTACGCTTGAAGTCGAGCGCAATGAGTTTACTCTGAAAATGAGGCGTAATTAATTAGAACTAGAAATTAAGAGCAATAAGTTAGCGCTAGAAACCAAGCATAATAGGTTCACATTGAAAGACACTGGAAATGAAGCGTATTAGCTCATCCGCTCAGAGTCCCCCTATCTAAATGCATAAGGGAATTACCCGGAACTACCGAAAAATGCTTCGTTTTGAGCGAAAATTAATGCTTGACAAAGGCTGCAGATGAAGTAGAATTTCACGCGTACAATGTCGTCAACTCACCGATGATGAAGTTCTCCCCCGGCGCCCGGTCGATGCGCATGCTCACGTCGCCCACCTTGAGGTCCACCAGCAGGCGGTCCACGTGCACGTGCTGCCTGCCAGCTCGGTCTGCCCGGTCCGCCCCGCGCACCGACAGCGCGCCCCGGAGCTGCGTGCGCACGCGGCCCAGCTCGCCGTGCAGTGTGCCGCGGCCGGAGGCGGGGATCATGATGAGCACGCCCGAGCTGGAGTAGTCGGCCACGAGGGAGAGCAGGGGGATGTCCACGTCCAGCGAGAAGGCGCCCGCCTCGCCCACCCTGCAGCAGGCAAGCAAACATTTCACACACTGAGACACAAGTGTTTGGGTAGAATGAAGAACGTGTAACTGGCAGGATTTAGTGCCCTCATTGAATTTGCATGATGTTAGGCGTGAAACTGCACAAATTTAAGCGAATTTGAGCACAACTTTGGACAAAAGAATACACAGGTTAAAATTCAGGCAACACCACGTAGCCTGGCGAGAAAAGATAAGCGCATGTAGTGTAGGAAGCAAGTATTAAATCATGAAAGCATGGAAAGAAAATAGTAATTTGAAGCCCCAAGATAAAGATACCGCGAATTCACAAGGCACGCTTCAACCTTGCGACCATGCGAAAAAAATAATAATACAAAACTTTTGATCGCGAAATTATTTAAAGCAATACAATCAAAGCTTAAGGTGATGTGCATTGGCACAGAATACTCCTTCCCTAAATGCATGCAAATAAAATGATATGTTGTGGAGACAATTCTGAAAATTTGAAATTAACATTTACAGCGCACTGTCGTCCACACTAAATGTTTTAGTACAAATTTTGTACGAGACATCACAGTTTTTTGTGCACACGAACTTTTCGTACAAATTTGTACGAAATTTTGCTCAAAAAGGGGAAATTTGTGCAGTTTTTCGTACGAAAATTGCACGAAAAGTTCGTGTGCACAAAAAACTGTGATGTCTCGTACAAAATTGTACATAACATTTAGTGAGTCGAAGAGATGGACAGTGAGAGGATGCTTACGTGAGGTCGCGCACGGTGAAGTTGCTCACGCCCGTGACGTCGATGTCCTTGAGGGAGATGCGGTACCCGCCGCGTCCCTCGGTCAGCGACAGAGACAGCTCGGCCAGCCGGAACGGCTCCGTGGACGGCACGTCCACCTCGGGGATGCCTGCAAGCGAGACACACTGGTAAACCCTCAGGGCACAGTGGGCCAGACGACCGGTGGAGGCGGCCAAAACTCTAGACGCGTTTTGAGCTCCTGAGTCGCTAAAAG